TTTAATTGAATAAATTGTAAATTAACTTTTTAATAATAAAAGAAAATTTGTTAGCGTATACCCATTATTTCATCGAAGTGGCTATTCGGACTCGGGTCCCAAAAGTGAAAGGTTGGGATTTAAAAAAAAAAAGTATTAAAAATTTTATAGGGTTGTAAGACAAAATTTGATATCAAATGAAAGATAATTGAATGGACTACATTTTTGTAAACCTACTTCTTCAGTTTAACTAAAATAAACTACCACAAATGACATCCGAATGGCATTGAGTATTCTGATACCCGGGTCCGAATAACCGCAGCCTTATTTCATTTTGAACAATCTTTCGTTCAAAAAAATGTAGGTCGAACAAGCTTCTTTTGAACAAATTTCCGTTAAGCATTATCGTATTGTGGTATTGAAATAATCGAATAACGTCATTTACGTTGTTGTCCAGCAACCAAACAGCCACAGCCAGCAGCTAGTATTGGAGCCAGCTTTGTTGTCTTATTGCGGCTAGTTTGCTCGTGGAATCATATTTAATATAAGCGGACGATTTAATGATTGAACCGTTTAACAGTGTTATTGTTTTTGTGTTTTTTTGGGTCACATTAGGTAAGACGTTAAGGGAAACTGGTGGTGGTTGGTTCGATTTTATAGCACAAAAAAAAAAAAAAGTGGGTCAAATTTGTGTAAAAGATCTAATGGGCGACTTCCGTGTCAACGGTACACAATGCGTACACAATGCGGTGTGCGCATGACCTAGTCATGCCGGACTGATGTCATGTAGTATAGGCCTGCCTCACTGTCAGAATCGACCTTGTTGCGTTACGTATAACTTAAAATAAGAAAAAAAAATCATGATTTTAATCTAAAATTAAAAAAGAAAGTAACTTGCAAAGGCAAAAGCGATACTCTTCGGTTAGCCTTCAACTATATAAATTTAGATCAAGGCCTTGTCTTGGAAAATCGACCCAAAGGACATAAGAACTAGATCTACTAACTATTACACACATTTTAATATTTTGACCTGGTTTTTGTGATGGATTTTTGTAAAAAAAAAAAAATTTAAAAAAAAATTGATAGTTACGTGACGGTTGGCAGGGGGGGGGGGAAGCATCTATTCAATATTTAATTTTCACTCAAATGAAATCTGTGTACTTCAATGTATATCATTATCATGCGACCTGCACAATTAGCCTCCTTATAATTAATTTTAAAATTCTTTTGAGACTTAAGGCTTTGTTTTGATGAATATAGTACACCATTAAAGTTATAATTATATAATTCACATAATGCATCATACTATACAGTTGTTTTTTTTTTGGTTGTGTGTGAATTTTTCAGATAACAATGTGAGTTTCCCTGGTTTAAAGTGCTGCAAGTACAACTTGCAGCTTAGTTTAGTTTAAGTTTTGTTTTATGGATATGGTAACAATGAATCCAGTTAATCATAACAGAAACAAACAAACAAAAAAACAAACAAGCAAAATGACTTCATCAACATTTTTAAACATCAACATTGTGTTATTTAATCAATTATATTTTGTTTTTTTTAATTCAATAAAAACATAAATCAAACAGGAAGTACATGTATAACATGTAGGCCTTCACCCAGCCAGACTAGTGTAAACATAAAGGTCAATGAATTGCAAGTAAGACTTTTGTTGGCATCAGTTAGTCAATCATCTCATTCATGCTTATTTTGACAAAGAATTTATTAAACTAAATTACAGATATACTCTCGCTGACACATAGACACTCATGAGTGTAAAATAAAAATAAGTTATCTTTAAAAAAAAAAAGACTGCAACAACCCATTCCTAGCTTTGTCTTCACTGCTAACACCCCCTTTTAAAAAAAATAAAATAGTAACAATATTAAATTAAATAAAAATGTGAGTTTTCAAAAACAAGAAATTTGAAATACAACTTTAATGGCATTTCTTACCAAAAGAAAATTTGTTAAGAGAGTCTTCAGAATTCAAACTGATATTATCTGTGTTTGGTCTTCAAACACTTTTTTTAAAAATAAAAATTTAAAAATGATGTTTTTAAAAATTTAGATTTAGATTAAAAATAATCTTTTCAACAATTTATATAATAAAATGAGGTATCCCAAGGAGATTTTTAAAAAATCATTTAAAAATGAGATAATGCATGTTTTGATTGTTTACATAAATGAAACAACAATTTGTTTAAAAAGATATGGCAGGACAATGTAAAAACACTGACACATCTAACATAAATTTTGTACTTGTAACTTTTTAATAAATAATTATTATATATAAATATGCACTTTTATAATTAAAATCAGCCAGGTGTATGAGACAACATGCAGATTTTAAAACTAAAAAAGTTATAAATTAGACTGACTAGTAAAGTTATTCATCTATTATTTACACATTTATTAGACGTAAACAACAAATGTTGCAAATAAGGAAAATAAAATGGAAATCATTTTCTTTTTTAAAAGGCTATTTCAAAATTTTATTTAGAATGTAATTCTATTTAGAATCAATAAACCAATATAGGTAAAAACATAAAAATATTTTTTTTTAAATATTTTAAAATTTCTTACCTTTTTATGAATGATTTTTACTTAGACTTTAGTCATTAGTAATCTTAGTTACTCCATGGCTTAAATTTAAACTTTCCCAATGTATAAATATGATAATATGGCTCAGTTTTAGAAGTAAGATTAATACCAACAAAAAAAAAATGTGTTTTATCCGCCAAGGCAGATTTAAATAAAAAATAGATTTAAACATCAATTATTATTTAATTTACTTAATTAAAACTTTAGGTCATATGAAATAATAATAAACTTATTAAAAATTAAACAAAGTGTCATATTCATATTCCTTATGGAGAATATTTTCAACGATGGTAACATCTATCACAATGAACCTGAGACATCCACTCCCAGTAGCAAGACCACAAACAGAATTTAAAAATATATAAATGATGACCACATAAAAGGAATACAAATTGTCAATACTAATATAAAATTATTATCATAAATAATGATTGTCTTATGAACGTTGATATGATTTGGGTAAGAAAATGCAGGTATTTAAAATTTTTCACTAATGGGAAGTGCACAAGAGCAATAGTTATTTTTATCTGTTAAAGTTATTGCAGATTCATGAAGAACTAGTTCAAATCTATCAAAATCAGAATTCCATTTTATTGTTAAAGATATATCACAAGATAAATGTGCGTATTATTGATTTATTTACTCTAGCTTCAATGACTGCGGGCCAGGATGGAGAAAAAAACATTTACAAAAAAATAAAAATTTATGAAAAATTCAATAACTTAAATTTATTTTGATCAAAATGTAGAAAGGTTTCTCAAAGCAAGAATAGAGATCTTAAATAAGAAAATAAAGTGATCAAATGGTTTTGTTCGTCCATTGCTTTAAGACAACTATAAAATTAATATACCACACTATGGAATGTGCAAACATCCTTGTAGCTGGTCAAGTCTTCTTAAAGGAAACATAATAATATAGACATATAAATAATATTGAAAGTGAACTGAGTAATAATTAAAATGTGCATTAACTTAATACACAGCATTTTGTTGGTGTTTACAACAATAATTTAAAATAAAACTATCACGACAACATCATAAAATAAATAATCCATTCCAATGTGGAAAGAAGTACAATGCCTTGAAGGATAATTAAACATCATACACACTTGTCTTTGAAACAAGACGTAATAGCACCAATTATATATTTATGTATTAAGAGACACACTTAATACAATCATTATTAATTATAATTATTTTGTCACAATTAAGAATTATAGGTTCTGAGAACATATGAATTTATGTATCATAAAAAGAAATTTAAAAAATGTGTCGCATTATAATTGGCTTGTTGCAGTGACAATAGTAATGAGGATGTTTGATGCATGCAGATACAATGTGATCTGCCACAATATATTGATATATTTAAGAATTTGGGTACAGTTGTCGACAGTGTATTACTATAAAATATGGAAATACCTTTAGAGCATGTGATGTGATAATTTTATAAAAGCTACAGGGTAACATAACGTGTTTTAAATAATAATTAACACACTTGAAGATAAAAAAGCTCTTCAATGACCCAGGTTTAACTCAGTTTGACGTATAAGGAAAGTAATTTTTATTCATCCTTAGCTCAGCTATTTAAATATTTCTTTTTTTAAAAACATAATTGTAGTCTATTATCCATGTTTTATCAAAGTAAAAATATGCAGCAGGGTTTGATGATGAAATGAAGAACTATTTTTGATTGCAAGTCTCCTTCCAAAAATAATTCTTCACCAACAAAGATCCAAAACTACAAGCAAAAATTTTTTTATGAATGACTTGAATCTCTGATAAGCTGATTTTGATGATTAGATTAGATGTTCTCTTTGTGAAAACTTGATATCACAGAGTATTTTTACATTGAACCTTTCAGATCCAACATATGCAGATTAAGTCTCTGAAATCTTTGGGTTGTGTGCCTTGCTCCATGCGCCAGATTTCTTAACATTGTTGTGCCTTCTGAAGTGTTTAGCCAAGTGGTCACTTCGCATGAAGCGACGCTGACATATGTTACACTCAAACTTCTTCTCACCTGTGTGGGTTCGAAGATGCCGCGAACGCTCATCAGATCTGGCAAAGCTTCTAGTGCAGCCTTCCCAATCACAAACAAAAGGTTTCTCACCTGGAGAAATAATTGTAATATTTCAATGGAAAGAATAATTTATGCATAGAACATAGCATCTAAAGTCAGTCTTTGCAAAATACTAATATATTTTAAAATGTCAGAAACTGAAAAGCATGGAATAAGTAGTTAATTCTTTAGAGGGAGATGACTAACTTTAAAATTACAAAAACTAATATAGTAAAAACTCATGGTTATATTTTTATTTTCTTCTACTTCTCAAATTTTATAAAAAAACAATATATGTATATATATTTTTTTAAATTATAATTTTGAATAACAATAATTGTTGGGAAATGTTATGCCCTTTTTGATTAGAAGCCATGTGTTGAGCCTACAATTAAAATAACTGAAAAATTACCTGTATGTGTTCTAACATGAGCCTTAAGATGCGAGCTTTTGAAATAAGTTTTCCCACATCCTGGAATATTACACTGGTGGGTACGCCTCCTACGCAATTCATTAAGAGACGACTCATCCTGTTTTGATTCAGCATCTGCAGCAGATACAGGGGCAGGTGCAATCGGCTGGAACATATCCATTGGTTTTGTCACCAGAGTGGGAACTTGACCAATGGTGGCCGTGGTTGAATTAGTTTTTGGGGCTATTGAATTAAATACAAATACTTGCACAATAGGTGGTGAAGTGTAGGCATTTTGGCTGGAGATCCGCAGTAGAGGTATGCCTGAATTTTCCGATGGTACAATTATCACTGGGGATGACTTGCTATCTGAAAGATTGACGTAGTTTGAAATCACAGGCGCAGACTGTGATGAAACATTTTTTTTGAAAATGTCCTGTTGTTTGATTGTGGCGATGGATGAGGACTGAAGTAAATGAGACGACATGGATTTATTTAAAGTAGGCGCAATGCTGTTAGATTTGGAGGTGACAACAGTGGAGGAGACAGTTGCAGTCATGGTGAGTGCTTTCGATGGAGCCAATGGTCTTGTGGTGTCAGGCTTGACAGCTTGTCCTGGCGTGTCAGGCTTTACAGCTTGACTGGAGTAATTATGACCAATCCCAGACAAGTTTGAAAATGCAATGGCTGGGTAGGGACTTGAGGTACTATCAAATGATGACCCAGATGACTTTAGAAGCCGAGTAGGGTACTGACTAGCTACCTGTAGAGGGCTATTTGTAGAGGTGATCATCAATGGTAATGGGGCAGTTGAAGAATTGAGTAATGTTGTCAGCTCATTAAAGGCTTCTTTGTTCTTTCCAAAAACTGAAGCTGTAGTTGCTGATTGGTTAAGATCTTTGGACGTATTGGTTGAGGCCAATGTTGTTGTCATGGATTTAGAGTTGATGTTTCCTTGTGGGGTAAAAGTCTTCTTAGTATGAGAGGTGAACTTAAGCAGCCTATCATCTTTAGAGCCAGAGGCATAAGGTACTCTTAATGCAGTTTGAGAATGGGACAGTTTGTCATTAGTGTCCAAGGTATCTTCAGAGAAAGAATGGGACTTCACTCGCTCAAGCCCAGTTCTCTGAAATTTTTTTATAGGAGTGAAGTAAGCAGATCCAGGTTTTGAGATTTTATCTGATACAATGGAAATAATGGGTGCTGTCACTGAAGATAATGAAGTGCCAGGTAACTTGGCATCCACTGAAGATAATGAAGTGCCAGGTAACTTGCCATCCACTGAAGTTTGAGGCAGATAAAACTTCACAGCGCTAGCTTGAGATAAAGGCTGGCTGATTTCATCATCATCCTCTTTTTCCTCATTATCATCATTATCGTCGTCATTATAATCATCATCATCTTCATCCTGAGAAAACTGAGATCGAGAGTCTGAGGTAAAGCTATCAGGTCCAAAGTCATTAGCAGGCCCTGGGTCAAGTGGCGTTAGACATCGTGGAAGATCCTCTGTAAAATATGGAGTGAACGGTCTGTGAGAACCAGAAATGCAGGAATCACAGGTGCAATGACCAAAGCTTGAGAAAGGTGTGGATGGAGACATTGGCCTCATTTGCTCACACTGCTCATCGTTAGTGTCAAAATGGTCTTTAGAGTGCATGGATGAGGACAGATCCAGTGCCTCATCAGCCAGCTTTGCTGATGGTAGTGGTGACTTGCAGGACAACTTAGATGGAGGGTGATAAGAATTTTCTGTGTTTGATTCCTGACACATGTCTTGGATCCTTCGCTTGTGACCAAGGAAGATTTTGGTAGAAGACGAAGACTGTGTGGGGACTGGCGCTGATAATGTGGAGGAAGAAGCGTTTAAAGCTGTGTTTGCTGAAGACAAAGCAGATGAAGGTCTTGATACAATGACAGAGACTTTTTGACACGACTGGCTAACTGCAGTGAGGTGATTATAACTGTCCAGACACTCTCCTTTCAGGATCTGTCATAAAAGAAACATAATTCACTTTAATACTCAAACTTGTAAATTGAATATGCACTAGTATTTGAACACAAGCATAACAACACAAGAAAAGTTCATAAGAATAAACAGTTCATGCACCAAAGACATTTAGTATTAAATGAGGAAAGATTTTACATTCTGATATGACCCACCTGCTCTAAGGTGCTGTGCCTTTTAATTTGATTGTTATTGGCGGGGAATGTTCTCTGAGGTAAGAGAGGAGGTTCAGTTTCAGAAACATGTGCTCTCTTGTCGACTCCATGAGCTATAGACAAAAGTGACTCAACAGCATCTCTTTCCATAGCATTATCAACCAAACAACATACTGCTTTTGATGACGACATCTAAAGGTAAAATTCGAAAAATAATAATGAAATATAATTAAGTGTGAAAGTTTGGAAAGAATTCACTGAATCAATCGATATAAGTTAAGGAACAGTGAAAGCTAAATAATAAATTATTTTATCGTTCCCCTGGCCAGCTACAACCCTGGAAGTGCTGACATTTTTAAATCCTTGATATTTACTTCGCTTTTTCTAGCGTTTTTGTCAAAATCTTCGGAAGGCGAAATGACACACTTTTCACTATCTTATCCAATGTTAATACTTAGTTAAATGGGTGCTTGTTTGGGTTTGAGATTAATTGTGTGCCATGTGCTTTGTAATTGTGACTTATTTGACTTTATATTTAGTCCATTAGTTTTACATGCACTAAGTTTAAAAAAACCATCCTATGCCAAATATCAGTTGCTACAATCACATAACATGATAGGTCATGTACATCACGACATCACATAACATGATAGGTTATGTACAATCACATAACATGATAGGTTATGTACAATCACATAACATAATAGGTCATGTACAATTACATAACCTGATAGTCATGTACAATCACATAACATGATAGGTCATGTACAATCACATAACATGATAGGTCATGTACAATCACATGACATGATAGGTCATGTACAATTACATAACATGATAGGTCATGTATAATCACATAACATGATAAGTCATGCACAATTACATAAGATGATAGGTCATGTACAATTACATAACTGCAAACAAAAATGCATATAATGGATTTATACAAATAATTTTGTTTTCAGGGGCTGTTTAATTTACTTATAAATACCCATAGTTTTCACTTTTCATTTTGTTGGGGAAATGAGAATTCCCTTTGAACAGGTAATCAACTTAGAAAGTTCTATCAACATAGACAGTTCTAAGTTGTGACTGTGCAAAACTGACACCCCCCAAAAAAAAAAAAAAGTTTGTTCGAATACCTTAGTTAAGGCAAGTAAGGGTTTTGAAATGGATAAAAAGGCTTTGGGTTGGTGTGTGCATGTTGCTAGTTAACAAAGTTTATTTTCTATAAGTATGAGACCATCAAAAAAATAAAAGAAATCTACTTTTGTCACTCTATCACTCATATCAAACTTTGGTTGAGTCACAACGGGGAAAAGGAAGAGGGGGGGATTTTTTGTTTTTTTTTTTGTTTTTTTTTTTTTTTTTTTTTTTTTTTTTTTTTTTTGTTATTTGAGGGCACATAACTTATAACGATATTTAATTATCCCTTTTTGTCCTTTGGGTGGCCAATGCATAAATTAAGTCAGATCACTCCTTCTTTGCATGTCAACAAATTATTTAAGTTTTTTTTAAAAGTAGTAAGCAAAGTCCTATGGAGAATAAACCTTATAAATTTTGAGAATAAATATAATTAATTAATTTACTCTACAACCAAAATTACAACACAAAGAATTGTAACACATGATCATTACTAAGTGAGTGAGTGGCAATCTTATGCTCACCAGTAGTAGTCTACTAGTACTAAAGTAGGCTGTGAATTGGTGTGCGTCATTTAAAAAGTGTATGTGGTGGGGGTGGGGGGAGTATTGGAAGTAGGTCAAATTTTGTTTTAAATATAATTTACAAGTAAATTCAAGATTGATTTTTCTTCTCATTACTGAATGACAACGCCCATTGGCCTCACCCCATGCCTAAACCATTCAATTAAAAAGACGAAGATCTGTCCTTCAGACTCAGTGTGAAGAAGACCTACTAATGACTCAATGAGTGCAACCCATGCCACAAAAAAGAAAATTAAGTAATTAAGCGACAATGAATGAATCGTAATATAATTGTGATCAAACTAAAGAATTTATTTCAAAAATCAATAATCAATTTACCTTAAATTCTGTTGGTGGAGTAGCTGGTGGTGAAGGAGGATAAAACACAACATCCAATATGTTCATCTCTGTGTTGACAAAGCCTCGTATAGGTAAAGTGAGGACATGCTTCTCTACATTAACGTTGATTTTTTTTTTTCTTTCTATTTCTCACACAACGCCTCCAGACATAGTAAATTTTCAAGGCGAGGGCGGGGACGTGTGAACCAATGAAAAAATGGGGGCATGGCCTCTACAGCCAATCGGCGTTAGGTGAACATGTGAAGACTGTGTGCGTTCATGGTCTGTGCGCACGTGGTTTTACTATGGCTCTATCATGCAGACACCGACAATGTTTACATCACGTGCTGTGCACATTCAACGAACTGGCTTTTGATTGGCTGCTGGAATTGAGGTGTGTTTCGTCAGCTCTTCCGTTTTTAATCTAACTCTTAGCTACTGTTAATAAATATATAAATTAACACCCCAAGAAATAGTCAACTGTTAATTTGAAGATAACGCTAAGTAATGAACTGTGCGTCGCAAATTGCGTCCTATATTAATTATGAGTAGATATGGACTAAAATGTTGTTGTTTATATTTTTCATTTACTACATGGCAGAATGAATGAATTAAATGAATGATGTAACATTTCAACCCCGTCGCGAGGAGAAAGGTGCTGTTCTGAGTGACCTTGGTCGGGACATTCCCCTTTGGCTTGTCCTCTTTTAGTGCGTGGCGTAGACATAACACGAAATCGTACCACAGATTAATAAGGTAGCGAACTTTTTAAAACAGATTATGTTTAATACAGATAGATTATCCTAACTCAGTGGTCGGAAAACTCATTAGTCAAAAGAGCCAAAAAAATCAGCAGCATGACGATAAAAAAAAATTTGAGAGCCAAATTTCTTTATATTTTTCGGAATCAAAACCGATTTGTGGCCGAATCGCCGAGCCGCACTCTGGTCGCTAAAGAGCCCGCGAGACGCGATTTGCCGACCACTGTCCTCACTGATTAGATAATAAAACTCCATTAAAAAAAACAGTGGCGTTACATGGGGGAGGCGGGCCGCAATGGGTGACGCCCTTATAGGGAGTGACGCCAAATAAAAAATGCGAAATGGACAAATTTCGCGCCCGTGTGTTTCATAAGTACTCAGATACAAGAGAAGGGCGCCATCAGAAGATGGTGCTGCCAGACCTGGGTGTCACTAGAACAGGATGTCTCCCCAGCAGGGTACCACAAGAACTGAATACCCCTTAGACCAGACAGTGTAGGGTGCCATCCTAGTTGGAACCAAAGAGATCAGGGTACCAAATGAGCAAGATTCCACCAGAACATGTTACCACCACAGCTGGTTGCCACCAGACCAGGCAGACTCGGGGGAGTTCATGGTTGTGGGCAAGCTAAGCCTCTACTGGTGGCGACTGAAGAAGAGTTATTGTTGTCCCTTCACAAACTGACCACTATCTTTAATTGAAATACAAAAGCTCCTGAGACCCCCCCCCCTCTCCCTTTTTTCCCCCAATCTCTTTTTAAGCCTTACAGTTATTTCTCATAATCTTTGTGTTATATTAGCTTCATGCTTTTCAAAACTGAAACTTATAAAGAACTATTTGCTATCTACGAGGGAAAAGTCCAGGCATCGTGGCCTTGCGATTTTTTCAATATACAATGATATGGTGCAGAACTTTGATTTTGATGAAGTGATTGACAGGATGTTTGCATCTTTGAGGACCAGGAAAGTTAAGTTTTAACTGCATAGTTCAATGTTTCAATGAAAAGTGTTTTAGTTGAATTTTTAAAAATACTCTAACCACCAATTCTATGTTTTCTTTTTATGTCGTCTGCTGATTTAGGACTTAGATGACAAACAATACTGTAACCGGTTCGTATAGTTAAGAATTACTGGGTGCAGGTCCGGGGAGTGGGGTCCATAGGGGTGGCACCATGAGAGGTCCGGGGAGTGAGGTGTTAGGGGTGACATCATGAGAGGTCCAGGGAGTGGGGTGGAATTGGGTAGGGGTGACACCATGAGAGGTCCAGGGAGTGGGGTGCAATTGGGTAGGGGTGACATCATGAGAGGTGCAGGGAGTGGGGTGCAATTGGGTAGGGGTGACACCATGAGTTTACCGCACTGGGTGACACCAACCCTATACGTTTGCATAAAAAATGCTAACTTTTTAAAATTTGTTTTATTTTATAAAATAACAAAGTCACCAAACCGCATGCATTAACTTTATAAGGCAATGGTAACTCGAGTCACAGTAATGGCTGCAGTGGAAGTCCGTTAGGTCATTCGAGAAAGAGGCGCCCGCCGTTTAAAAAATAAAAAAAACACAAATAAAAACTGTTGTTGCTGTTGAATACAATGCACCCTTGTTTAAGAACTCTTGTTTAAGAACCCTTGTTCTGAAGATATTTTTGAAGGTTGCCAAATGTTTGTCTGACAATGGGGAGTAAATCTCTTTAAAGTAGGCTTTGTATATTTTTTAACCAAATCCAAAACCAATCTATTTAGATTTCCATTATTATTATTAATATTATATTTTTTGTGTGGTCAGCTATGAAAAAAAAAATGTTGAAAAGCAGGTTTTGTTGTTTTTTTTCCTTCAAAAATAAATACATTAATGTACATTTTGATTGCATTTCGAGGTAACCTATAAGTTTGTTGACCCTAACAGGAATAACAAGTGATCATCCTTGCCCTTCGTTATTTATCATTAGAAGACACGTAGGTTAAAAGACCCGCCTGGTACGGCGAACGTGAAGACAGCATGCTCTTAGTACCTCCGTTTCCTGATCGACGTCTGCTTGTTGCGTGATACAGGGGGGACAAATCTTTCCTAGACGTTGGGTGCATGTGGGCAAGGAATCTATAAAAATAATTTGTAATAAAAGCGCAAACACATTTGGTTGAGGATAAATAAACGGTTAGCGGAAATTTGTTTGAAAGAAATTTCGCCGACGGAAAATTGATTGTAAACAAAATAGTGCGTTCAAATAGAAATTTGACGCAAAATTTTAACGTGTGAACAGAAAAAATAAAAGGTTTCGACCAAATTTCCGTTCGATCAAATTTCCGTCGATCAATTTTCCATCGACGTTGAAGCTGTGAAGCAAGTAGTGGAGCTGTAGGTACGTTGAAGCTGTGAAGCAAGTAGTGGAGCTCTAGGTATGTTGAAGCTGTGAAGCAAGTAGTGGAGCTCTAGGTACGTTGAAGCTGTGAAGCAAGTAGTGGAGCTCTAGGTACGTTGAAGCTGTGAAGCAAGTAGTGGAGCTCTAGGTATGTTGAAGCTGTGAAGCAAGTAGTGGAGCTCTAGGTATGTTGAAGCTGTGAAGCAAGTAGTGGAGCTCTAGGTATGTTGAAGCTGTGAAGCAAGTAGTGGAGCTCTAGGTATGTTGAAGCTGTGAAGCAAGTAGTGGAGCTCTAGGTATGTTGAAGCTGTGAAGCAAGTAGTGGAGCTCTAGGTATGTTGAGGCTGTGAAGCAAGTAGTGGAGCTCTAGGTACGTTGAAACTGTGAAGCAAGTAGTGGAGCTCTAGGTATGTTGAAGCTGTGAAGCAAGTAGTGGAGCTCTAGGTATGTTGAAGCTGTGAAGCAAGTAGTGGAGCTCTAGGTACGTTGAAGCTGTGAAGCAAGTAGTGGAGCTCTAGGTACGTTGAAGCTGTGAAGCAAGTAGTGGAGCTCTAGGTATGTTGAAGCTGTGAAGCAAGTAGTGGAGCTCTAGGTATGTTGAAGCTGTGAAGCAAGTAGTGGAGCTCTAGGTACGTTGAAGCTGTGAAGCAAGTAGTGGAGCTCTAGGTACGTTGAAGCTGTGAAGCAAGTAGTGGAGCTCTAGGTATGTTGAAGCTGTGAAGCAAGTAGTGGAGCTCTAGGTATGTTGAAGCTGTGAAGCAAGTAGTGGAGCTCTAGGTACGTTGAAGCTGTGAAGCAAGTAGTGGAGCTCTAGGTATGTTGAAGCTGTGAAGCAAGTAGTGGAGCTCTAGGTATGTTGAAGCTGTGAAGCAAGTAGTGGAGCTCTAGGTATGTTGAAGCTGTGAAGCAAGTAGTGGAGCTCTAGGTATGTTGGAGCTGTGAAGCAAGTAGTGGAGCTCTAGGTATGTTGAAGCTGTGAAGCAAGTAGTGGAGCTCTAGGTATGTTGAAGCTGTGAAGCACATAGTGGAGCTCTAGGTATGTTGAAGCTGTGAAGCAAGTAGTGGAGCTCTAGGTATGTTGAAACTGTAAAGGAAGTAGTGGAGCTCTAGGTACGTTGAAGCTTGAAAGGAAGTAGTGGAGCTCTAGGTATGTTGAAGCTGTGAAGCAAGTAGTGGAGCTGTAGGTATGTTGAAGCTGTGAAGCAAGTAGTGGAGCTCTAGGTATGTTGAAGCTGTGAAGCAAGTAGTGGAGCTCTAGGTATGTTGAAGCTGTGAAGCAAGTAGTGGAGCTCTAGGTATGTTGAAGCTGTAAAGCAAGTAGTGGAGCTCTAGGTATGTTGAAGCTGTAAAGCAGGTAGTGGAGCTCTAGGTATGTTGAAGCTGTAAAGCAAGTAGTGGAGCTCTAGGTATGTTGAAGCTGTGAAGCAAGTAGTGGAGCTCTAGGTATGTTGAAGCTGTGAAGCAAGTAGTGGAGCTCTAGGTATGTTGAAACTGTAAAGGAAGTAGTGGAGCTCTAGGTATGTTGAAGCTGTAAAGCAAGTAGTGGAGCTCTAGGTATGTTGAAGCTGTAAAGCAAGTAGTGGAGCTCTAGGTATGTTGAAGCTGTAAAGCAAGTAGTGGAGCTCTAGGTATGTTGAAGCTGTAAAGCAAGTAGTGGAGCTCTAGGTATGTTG